ACCACCCAGGATGGACGACATCATTGACACTCATTGCACAGCTACATGCCTGAATAAAAACACCATCCATGACACAATCACTGGTCTTATCGTATTGCCCGCGAAAGCCTCTGTACGGACGGGGGTGGGTTTCTCAGGTTGCTGGCNCTCGGGTCCCTTGTACCTGGAGAAATACACCCAAACAACTAAGTGTCTCACGTAGCTTCTGCTGAGCAAGCCTCATCTACTACATTCCCACCAAAGTTAGGGGACGAAAAGTTAACATGCGGGGATATATAACCAGGTCAGTAAACCACTGGCAGTACACCTACTGGAGTTGGCTGAAAGCCCTGATTCCAACGAGTTGTACGAACCACACCCACCCGCGCCTTCATGTTTTTGGTAGTGGTCACCTGCTCGATTGAGTATCAAACTATATGACCACTTTGGACGTTTGACTCCGTCCAACGGGCGCATAATCTGATAAATTGGACAGCGCCCCTCAATTATTTGTGATTCTTGCACCACCCTGTGGCGTTGCGAGACAGGCTTTCGTAAATCGATTGTTCCGTTTGTGACTTCCTCAGGAAAATTCACTTGCGTTGGTCTGGGCAAATTGGCAGTATCGAGAGGATCACGAACCTATTTTATTTTTCTAAAATGATTGTTTCTTGTTTTCTTTGCCACACAGTCTGAACTCAGTCGTGTGTGAAAATAAAAACAAAAATTAAAAAAAATATCTAATTACATGCACCGGTTGAGATTTCAATCCTCGACGGTTTACCTCAGCAGAACGGAAGGTTACTTACCTAATCATATGACCAAACAGTATTGCTTTAATCAGAGATTCACAGCACATTCGTACTAACGGCTCTTGTCTCCTGAGGCGAGACAATACGACTACGCAATCTCATTTGTCGAAGTTACATAGTTTAAACCCTGACTGTTTTCTCCAGATTTTGTGCACCACCAGCAATATCATTTTGCTCAGATACGCAGTGGTCTTGGCATACTTTTGTTACCATCCGAACTTCGCAAACAGCGAGATTAATTAACCAGTCTATCTCTCCAACGCTAAACGATACCTCCCTTTCATGCATTTGAACCGTGAATGAACGGAATTTTCCTTTGGTCTACTTGTAAATATTCTGTTTGTACGATTACCGTGAATGCAGCATGCACGTTTGCACATACAGCGACATACTATACTGCACAGGGTCCCAATATTAAGAAAAACGATCGTGAATCAATAATTCTATTGTTCCTAAAGTTCATTTTATCTGCACTACTGATTCTTACTTTAGGGAAACGTAAATCCAACGCCGTGCAAACAACAAGACAAGAGAATATTTGCAGAGGTATTGGTTGCTTCCGTCGCAAATTTATCGTGTTCATTCAATCTTCATCTTCATCCTCGTCACCTCCTTCCTCGCCATCTTCTTCTTCTGCCTTCGCTTCGCGAGCCAACCTTCGAGCTTCTTTGGCCGCGCGAACAGCTTCCTCCTCCAACGGGGTCGGGTCGGTGGTCTCGTTCAACGCGACCGCCATTTCATCGAATTCGTTCATCACATTCGCATACCACTTTGGTGAAAAGCTGCCGCTCAACGATTTCTGACCCCATCCCATGTAGATGTTTACAAAATCTCTGTAAAATGAATCGGATGGGTTTGTTTAGTAATTCGTAGCATTACTTCTAGTCTAGCCTATTTATAAATGGTGGGACGAACCTGGTTCTGACCAAATTATCGTTATTTTGATTTTTGTTACTAACGAGTAGTACGAGAAGGAATTTAAAAATTGGTAAATCACACCAGCCCATCCACACAATCGGTCTGGACTATGGCGCGAAATAAACCAGAAAGTGGGTAGAAAATTAACTGTCGCACGAAAGGAGAATAAATCACGAAAAATGCTATATTACACCGAACTGTGCTCATAATTTGCCAAATTTAATGAGATACAATCAGGAAAGTTCATTTTTGCATTCATCCATATTAGTGAACTATGATATCCATGAGACTGTTTTATTTGGTTGTGTTGGTTATTAGTTATGTTGGGGATGGATAGATCAGTGAGAGATTGTTCCTGGTGTAGTGAGGTTGGGATATTTTGAAGATAACTATGTCTATGCTCAGTGAGACAACTTAAGTTTACCTAATCAGCATATTTCGCCTTGGTTGATCCTCAACGGTACATGAGGAGTGCCATCTTGTAGACGAGAAAAAACAGTAAACTCCAACCATTGAGTTGCCTCATCAAACTTCTAGTATAATGAACAATTTACAATACTCCCGTCTTTCTTGCATATATTTTGTAATTTACATCTATCTTACGACGATACCGTTGTCAGAAAGAACTGTGCTAACATGCCAAAGGACGATAGCACTTCAGGTTATATCGTACCATGTTGAAACTATCCACCGAAAGCAAATCACAGCGAAATGTCGGGACAAATAAAAATACCATTATCGGCCACTAACTATAAGACACAGAACCTCCATTGTGTACACAGGGAAGTTAAGAGTNTCAGCTTTTCTGATTTCTAATTGAGCCATAAAGGACCAAGGATAGATCTGGGTCATGCTATAACCTGTGCTTCAAAAAAAAAACGAACTGGAGCATTTCGGAAAACGCTTTTTAATCCTCTTGATCGCAATTCTCCTTATCCACCACCCCTGCCAAACTGTCGTGACAATTAATCTTGTTCAACCCTTATTCGAATACCCAAGTAATCACTTGCGCTTTTGACGTTTGTGTAAACTTAGTTCGAAATGTACATGCCTGATAGCAAAACGATCTATATATTTCACACCGACTTGAGAACAAGCATGGTGTTAAGACGAAAACAATGATAATAATTTTAAGCAGCGATAGAGAATGGTGAATCGGAAATGTAGAAAAACAGAGAAAACAAATGAGTGAATCAATTTTTTGATAATTTTACCACACCCTTTTTGATGTTTCTTGTCTGGTTTGGGAAAGGAGGTTTTAAAAAACTAGCCGCACTTCAGCCATGCCACTGACATCTATTCTGATCCATATCTCTCAGCGTTTCTGATCACTGGCAATACTCATCTTTTGGGCCCCATCCTCTAGGGCGAGTTGCACCAACCGAAGTCAATGACTAGGAAAATCTCTTCATACCTCTAAGACAAGTTAGGGTATGATCGCCGCCGTCTTCTTCCAGCCTTGACCAGCACGTGTAAAAAGAGCACGGATGGATAGACGATTAGTAGGCGTACACAAAACACGCCCGAACCATCAGAATCGGTGTGGAGTGATTATTTCCGTTAGAGAACGACTATCAGCACACGTCGACGAATTTCGTAATTGTTCACAAAATGAAAAATAAAAAGCAAGTTCCTTCACCATAGATGATATATTTTTGAATGAGTCGTGGGACTTTACGATAATCTCGTGTTAGACTTACGCTTAAAACCATATCCCTTGTTGTGTTCCACTCCGACATGCACATAATTATTGATTGGATGCTTGTAAACGGTACTGAAGTCTACAAGGATTATTTTGGATCATAGGATATTCGATAAAGCTCACACCGTATCGTTCCATGACTACTCTCTGTGATCTATCGATTTTTATATGACAGACCGCTAATATTAGAAAAAATGTTTTCCCTCGCACTTGTTCCACCGCGTTCACGCACACCGTATTCACGCTAGGCAACGTTAGACTACCAAAGTGTCTCTTTACCATACTCGCAGTTTTCCCGTCAGGAATCATGTATGCTAAAGTTAATTTTTGGGAAACGATCACGCATTGTTATGTGATTTCATGTGAGCATAAACGGAAAATCCAGTCGTTCGACCGTCAAGGCTATTCCGAAGATATTCGAAAAATCTATCAGAAAAAAAACAATCTTAGTTACACGTTGATTTGTAAATGTCCAATTGTCATTCCAATAATCAAGTAAATTTAGAGACGATAGCGGCAATTTTGACCAAGAACATTCCATTGTGAAAATCTCATTAGATATTTTAAGTTTTCTTATCAGCTAGGCAGCTCAGTTGTGAGAATTCGCATTCATTCGAATAGTACTGTTCAAAAAAGACTACAGAGAGAGAAACAAAGAAAAAGCCTATCAGTTTCAGTGATCCATTGCGGTTTGCCTGTAAGCCTTCGGAAGCCTCAAGATGATCTCTTGCGGCAGATCAACCCTCTCTTGCATCACACGAAATACTCCCATACGACCACGCGTCTCAAATAGCTTCATACTATTCACTTACTGCCTTCTTATGGCGAAGTTGTTTTCCCACCGGAGTGAGAGCACGAATATCCCGTTCCGAGTGCAGTGTATGTTGCAGCAGTTCTACTATACGGTGCAGAGACTTGACCATTACGGAAACAGGATAAAACTACATTGTCATTGTTCAAACGTCGCTTTCTATGTCGCATTGCACGAGTCAGGTGAGGAAACCGGACGAGAACTGTTGAGGTTAGGCACAGAGTTTTAGGTAATCGCGGTTGTCCACTGGAGGAAGTGGTCTACCTCCATAGACTGCGGTGGTTGGGACATGTGCTGCACATGTCATCAGATAGGCTGACACACTGAACGATATTTGCCGAAACAGGAAGCGGTTTGAAAAGGGTCAAGGGCGATTAAACTAAGACCTGGCGTGAGGGTATGAAGACCCCAACCAGGACACTAGGATACTAGGTTAGATTAGATCCCATTAGTCTCCCTGGGACACTATCAAACGTACTGGCTGGAATATATAACTCACCTTACAAAACCAATGTGCATTTGCTTCCGAATTTTCGGGATGATCGATCGATCATTTGGCTAACCACAGAGAACCCACTGGTCTCATTTCGAAAGTGTTACAAATTTCCCAGCCACCTTGCTTGTGTTCCTAAGGGCTGTTCTTCTCTAGCTTGTATTTTTATGTGCACACTAGCCCCTAAAACCCCAACCAACTTTAGTTTCAAACATTTCACGAAATGGTTTTGTCGGTCACATGAAGCAAAATTGTTCTAGTACCAAACCACAGCTACACGCCACCGTATCTGTTGAAGCGTAGGCGATAACCATAAAGCTGCGCTTGATCATCTGAAATGTATCAGAACCACTTCCAATATGGAAGGAAGATCCTTCTTTCAAGCTAAACAACAAAGAGAGTGAGAGAGTACTTTGAGTATTTTCATCTGTGGCCATTCCGTACACCGTGAATAGTATGTGAAGTATCTTACTGCACTTCTGTTCAAAACCTCTAATGAATTTACCATAATAAGGAGAATTTCTCCAAAGTATTACGACTAATATTTCATACCTTCATATCAGACTCACATGAAACTCTTTAAAAGTTCATCTTCATGTGAAATTAGGATGTAGTATGTTATTGAACAGATTGTTTCCCCGTAGATTTTCCAGGTTTGCTCTCTAAAAATGTTGATTTGATTACACCAGGTGACGTTTGTTAATGAACTGAGCTCATAGTATGCACCCACATTGAACAATGTGATCGACGACACTGTGTGATAGTTTCCATCCTCTCCACACTTACCGTTTCCGGCATATTTGTTCAGCAGCAGTTCGGCCAGTTCTGCTATACGGTGCAGAGATTTGTCCACTTTGGGAACAAGAAATATTTGCACATCACTAACTGGGAATAAATTCATAACTCTGTCTACTCGTGAGGCGACAGATGGATTTCAGAGAACAATCAATTTATGATGATTCGAACCAAAAGCTGGCTTCGGTATGCTTACAGAATCAGGTTCCTTTCCTGGCCAAATAAATGGACAACCAGCCATTTTTTTTCGTCAAATACTATTCTAATTTTACCCTGTCATGTAACAGTACAACTGGCAAGGTTAGAATGTACAATACCATTCACGCCTGATTATAAGTGCATTAAGCTGCCTAGAACTCAGAACAAATAAGTCATTCAGACGGCGAGCAAACTTACGCGCCACGAGCTAGGGTAAATGCGCCTGGCCAACGACCCGAACTAACAATAGCAACCGCGCAATTTTTCGGTAAAAGCACTGTGGACGGATGTACACGCCACGACGGAATAGGACGAGATGTCAATTTAACTGAGCGAGCTGTCGGCGCAGTAGCTCGACCCGTAGGTAAACCCACATCCCCGGTGGCTGTGAGCACGGTATCCTCCTCGATTGTGCCCAGCAAGCCTGGTCCCTCTTCCGGTACATCCTGATCTCCATCATCTCCACCTTCCTCTTCTTCCATTGCTTCGTCATTTTCTTCCTTGCTGAGAAATTTCTCTGTCCACGCCTTAGCAACCACGGGGTTGATCCAGCCCTGTTCAGCTGGATCATCCAGTGCTTCACGCAATGCATTTACCGCTCGCTTCTGGGGCACGTAGCTGCAACGCCCTTGTGGTAAGATATATGGCCGTGTGTGTTGCCAATTGGCTGCGTCCAATAACTCCTCAAACGGCGGCGGTTCAAATTCCTCCACCTCCACCAGAGTTTCCGGTTGTTCCTAAATAATAAGGGTGGGAATACAATTTCTCTTCCGTTCATTGGTACAACATAAACTAGGGATCGATTTTTTGGAGACGGATTGCTGTCAATCATGATGTAACAAGAAAAATCTGCGAGAGTATAAATTGGGGGGTGGGTGATGAGGACAGGATATGAACAACCCACCAACGGATCAGTACGCTTCTAAACTAAATTGCATGATAAAATGAAATAAAGCAGGAGTATATTAGCCAAAAATATTTCAGCTTAAGACAAAAATATATAAAGGTTGATATTTTGTACAATTAGGTTGCCTTCAACCTATCTGCTTCCCACTTTTCAGTGGGTCACAGGAAATCGTCATTAATAACAAACCCATAGATTCAGCAAAGTCAGAGAGATATCTTGAACAGCTTTCCATGATCCTTGAATTTCAGTGTATCTCTCACTCAGAAGTTCTTAGGCCTAGTCTATTAGACCCCGAAGTAGTGTTGCCGTTGTGTACAAACTCACTTGTGTAATAACAACAACGTCATGAGCACGAATCCTTTTAGTGCTTCATTAACCAGTCGATGGCATTTTATTCGTTTGTTGGATTTTTAGTGTTATTCAGATTGCGTGCTTGAAATGAGGTGTGAGTGGGGTGGGGGAGGTTCGAATGTTCAGACAATGAGCGCGTAACCGGTGATGGTGGTTTACGGAGTGTAAAACGTTCAGCTGTGGTGTTAGGTGGCTGCACTGTGAACACAACCTTGGAAGGATACATGATTTGGTAAAATGCTTTTTCTCTTTTATTTTGCCGTTGTGTATTTGGTTGTGTGCTGTTTACACAACACTATTGCCTCTACTCAACCATCCTTGAATCTGATTCAAATGATTGTATCAAATTCTTAAGGCACAGTGCTTACTTACTTACTTTATCAGTTAGGCATTCTTGGCATGTGATGTCTATTAAGATAGGCTTTTAATTTGGTCTTATCGTAGCCTGATCGGAACTTCACGTCTTTTTTCCCAAAGAACTTGTTCTACTGTGCTCGAATTCAACCAACTGGTGCAATCAATACGGGACTAAACGAGTACTAGAATCCTAGTGGTAGAACTAAGCCGAATCGTTCGTTAGATCATTTCACCGAACAAGTGCAAATTGCTACGTGAAAAATAATGTCTAAATCTGTTCAATAGCCA